CTTCGTCATCACAGGGCTTTCTCCCTGCATGCTTCTGTCTGTTCTCTCCTGTCATGAGATTAGGGCTCACCTGGCTCCAGTATGACTTCATCCTAGCTAATGACATTGACAACAACCCCATTCCCAAATAAGGTCATATTCCAAAGTCRGGGACATTAGAACATCAGCACCTCTTCTTTGGAGTACATAGTTCAACTCACTACTGCCAGGATCTGCCAGGTGCAAAACGCAGACCACCTCATTTGGTCCTGACACTCTTTATGAAGTTGATCAGTGGCTCTCTATCCTGAAGGTTTACAGAATCATCTGCAGAAACATTTCATTATTTTTAAAATATATTTCATGCCCATAGCACACATTACATGCAACATATCCAGACTGGGAGTCAACATTTTAAAATGTAAATGAAGGAGTCAAGTGTCCTGCAGGAGTACAATGCTCTCTCAGAAATGATGATCTCTGAGGTCAACCTTAACAACAATGCTTTAAAATCTGGAAACCAAAGCAAAAAGAGATAAAATGTTGTGTCTACAGTTCACACAGAATATAACCAGAACTGTGGGTTTTCAAACCCTAGTCTGTACCACAAAAAGTCCATTTGTTCACAATCCATGCTGTCCATCTCTGCCTGCCCAGCCCATGTGACCAACTTTGGCATGTATGTCTGCAGATCTATGTGGGCAGGTGACCTTCAAGTGGGAAGCCAGGTGTGCACTGGCCTGAGCTCTCTAGATTCTTAGTGATGGGGGAAGTTCCTCTGGGTACAGACACTTGGCTGGAGCTCTTTGTACACACCATCACTGGGGTATGAGATGTTGCTATCAGAGTATCCACTAACCAGTCAGGGCACAGTCTAGGCACTGTCTCAAGCACTGTCTCATTGGTGCTGGGTCCTCAGCCCATAGACACTGACAGAATACACAGATGAAGAAATATAAATAGCAATCAATGTTACCAAGTGGGAGTGGTCCTGACTGGAGTTTTATTTCAGGTTTTTCTTTCTATAATCAGGTTGGGAAAACAGTGATCCTTCTACTCCAGTTTCATTATTTTTACATCCTTTTCTCTTCCCTAAACCAGAAAAAGAAACAGTTACTAATTTGGAAACTATTGCTGATTTGGGAAYCAGCTTAATCCCTGTAAATATCTGCTCACAGTTCTACTGTATTAGATGTTGCCACCAGAGAATAGAAGAGGAAAGATTTTTAAAGATCATGTGGTTCAGCCCTGAGGCCTTGGAGCAAACTCCTGTAACAGTCCGAGATCCTCTGAAGTCACTGTCTTGTTTTCAATATCCTCCAATATCAGTGCCCAATTATTGATCCATAAGGCAGCAGGAGGCCCTGGCTTTGCAGGAGAGCTTAGTTAATAGATGCTCTGATGTCCGTGTAAGCTACAGTAACTGCCTTAGCGACTCTGATGCAGCTGTGGTTAACCCCTAATGCCRCCACATCATTATCATCCTTGGCCACTTTCACCCTCAACATTGTCTTGGTGTGGACAGTGTATTCCATAATTATACCAACATTTATCCATGCTCCAAGTTTTGATTCAGAAAACATGGAAACACCCCCACCGCATTCCTTCTATGCTTCCCTAACAGAGGCCCTTTGACGTGCTCATGTGTGACTCACAGTTACTGTCTTTCTTGTTCAGAGATTGCTCCTGCCTCTGAGTTTGTTCCTGTTGTTCTCCCTCCCCAAAATGTTCTCCTTCCCCAACTCCACTTATGTAAATCTTAACCATCTTTCAAAGCTGAACTCCAGCACCATTTCTGTGACGTGGCCTCTGTCTACCTCAGCCCACACTGACTTCTTCATTCTCCTAACTTTTACTTGTGACATTTGCTTTGCTAAAACAGGGTAAAGAGTGAGCACAGGCCTGTCTTCAGTGATGGATTCTCTCCTCCCCACAAGCAGGATGCCTGAACTTTGTTTAGAAGCCTGCAGGCAGAATCTGGTTCCTGGTTATGGTAATTTGATCCCAACCCTAACAGGTGGCCATTCTTCAAAAGTGGTGCACTAAAAGAAATGAGAATGTAATACACAGTGTAAGGATGCAGGGTTCTTTTACAAAAGCTAAGGAAGTTGCTAACAGGACATTTAAACTGGGGGCTGCCTCTTGTCCTACCCTTGTCCACAGCAGGTGCTCATTTTCCCTTTCCAGCATCCTTGGAAGATGGTCATTCAGCTTATCCATGGACATATCCTTTGAGACCATTTCTCCAGCTGGACCATCTGGACAGCAGGACGGTTTCTGTTTGTTAACATACTTATACTACAGTATTTCTTGAAGTTAACTTTGTGGACCATCTGCACCAGAATATTTGAGATGCTTGTTAAAAACCAAGACTTGCAAGTCCAACTCTAGGCATAACTAAATCAGCATTTGGAGCAAGGCGGGAAACAGTAAWGTACATGGTTCACAGGCTTTTCCCAGGTGATGTCTGTGCACCACAGAGTGTGGATCCACTGTCAGTCAGTGGATTCTAGGCTGACAACCTGTTCCATCTCCCTAATACCAAACTCAAGTCTTCACAGCGGCTCTAAATATCCTGGAAGACCTCTCTCTACCCTCCCTCCTTAATACTCAGTCAAAACCCAGGTTCATTAGCTTTTCTTGACCATAAGGTCCCACACCCTGAACCAACTTGGACACATCTCATTTTTGCTGCTTGTCAATGTCTCTCCCGAAATGTGATCTCAAAGCTGGCACATACCTCACAAGGTATGAGGTGGGGGAGAGAGCTAGAAGGTTTTTAAAGCCTTTACTACACACTACCAATTTTGTGAAGTGCATCCATCGACACTCCCGCAACCATTCYAGCCTGAGGCCACCAGCCGGAAGTGCCATCACTTGGAAAACCTTTGCTAACTGAAGAGGCACATGAGRTTGGCTGGCTCTTCAGAGTTGTTCTAACTTGGGTGGCTTTGTTTTGATTTTCAGGTATGGAYTGGCAATTGGCAGTTTTTCTATGAATCATCTGTTCCTGTCCTTTCTGGTTTTCTGCTTTTAATCAGTTCTGCCCGTCACTGTGGAAAGTGAGCCCCTCCTAGGCCATGCTTTACCAAATCCTCGAAACAGCACTTCTAGGTGAAGAGGCCAGTCTTCAGGAACAGTGGGGTGCGCCCCTTCCTCACTGACTTATTCCTTTGGTGAATCAACATCACGAGGAGGAAAACCCTTTATCTTCCAGACACTTTGTAAACTGAGTCAAGACGCCCCAGTGCTGGGGATTCTCACAGCTGGGTTACCTGATACTCCAGCCTACAGTTCCCTTTACCCTACTTGGTATTTCCTCTGGCCTAGAGGTAACAGTGACCAAATAATAACCAATTAGTGGCTAGCAGTGCTATTTACTGATAGCAGGTAGAAGGAGGATGTGTATGATTATTCATGTATTTGTCAATGGAGGTGACATGCATCTGCCCCAAAGTGAATATCAGAAAAGGACCAAAAAGGGAGCCATTTGGAGATAAGGCAGAGTCTGGAACAAATTAGTCCATTGGTKGACAGCAGGATCAGTATGAATTCCATGTGAAGCAAGAGTGGCTTTCTTTTTTTTCTATTTTGTATTATCTGATATCCCAAGACCAGTGTTTATGAAATTAACTGAGACCCTAATGTTAATTCATTATTTATAGCAGTTTAGTCCAAACAGCTGAGCTTCTCGTGGATTTAGTTAATTTAATCAAATTCCATGCAATTATACTTTAATTAAAACTACATATGCATAAAGTTGAAATGCTGATATTTAAATCAATTGAATTTACAACCAGATTAGAAGAGAAATGCAAAYGATTAATTACAGATCTGAGTTAGAAGCAAAATTTAAAATAATTTAATCCTACACTCTTTTTCTWCCTGGAAGGTTGCCAAGAACCAAAGGTCATGAATTCTCCTGTCACACAGTGAGTGTTTAATGCTGAGATTCAAATCCAGGTTTCCTAACTTCCGATTCAGACCCTGTTCATCTGGGCTCCTCCTTGACCTTTTACTATTCCTAAATTCACTCAAGAAAAACCTGATCTTCCCCCCCACCCCAACCTCAAGTTTTTTTCCAAGTAAAACCTCTTCTAGGAGTCAAAGATGCTAATGTGATGTAAAAGTCTTGGTTCTGGGACTTGGCCATTCTAGGCAGCCTGATAAAAGTATCTTCTATCAACTTTGACAAAACCTCAAATTTTTCCTCATTAGTTATTAACAGACACATACATGCTTGAAATTTCAATGCCCTACATTCTGTTCCAAATCTTTCATATATTAACAAATATTACCAAAAAATTTAAGTACTATGTAAGTTATCTTTCTTTCTTTTCTATTCRAAGATCCCCATCACTTTCCTTTTAGACCAATAATTTTAAACAAGGCAAAACTTTTAACTTCACTTTCCCAACATTAAAGTTTTAGTTCCTTCATAAAGTACTTTTTGCATGGCCCATGGGCTTTTCTCACAGAACCTAAATAGAATTTTAAACTTAACAGACTGTTCTCAATAAGGACACAAAGTAAATTTTAATAAGCAAAAAAAAATGCTCTGATTGACCTGGATACTGATATTGTCCAGAACAGTGGGGATAAGTTGCTAAGCCTACACCGCTCTCCAGAACAGGAGCTTGCACCCCACTTCTTCTTCTCCCACCAGGAATGCTGGACCCCACATGGGAGAGATTACCCCCTTCCTCCACACACAAGGAACCCTCCCTCCTTCACATGCACCCTCTCCCCAGCCCCAACACACACACAAACCTACCCTGGGTGTCATCCTTAAGCACCATTGTCACACCAAGGTCTCACCTGTACCGCCAAACCCTGAAGCCACAAAAACTGACAACCTGCAAGCTATGTTCACTTCGTAAATGCTCTGTAAACCTTGAAAGCCTCCAGAAAGTTTTCTGCCTCACAAGGACCCTCCTGGGAAATCCAGGCACCAGACCCCCTCTGCCCTCAGACCCAGAGGTCCTCCCCGGGGACAGAGCAGGAGCCTAGAACACACTCACTGCAAATCGGACTTGGCAGTTCTCTTCTCCCAGGTAGCAGAGGTCACCTGAGGCATTGGTCTCCAGCCAGAGGTGCTCCCCGTTCACGGCGTTCTCCTGCAAGGAAAAGACCCAGCGGCTTCAGTTTTCTCTTCAGAGACAAAGAGGGAGTTTTAAACTTCTATTTGGATACAGGAAAGTTAGCCCAAGGAGTTTAAGCACTTCTCCTGGGACCACTTAAAATACTCCTAGAATGGATACTACTGAAAGTCTAGAAATGGAAAAGGTGTTGGAAAACTTTCTTTGAGCTATGACCAAAATAGACACAAGGTCTTAAGTTGATTTATTCAAATATGTGGTCATTTTTGAAAGATATATTCAACACAAATGAGAAAAAAAATCACTAAATAGTATCATGTTAAGCCTTACTTATCCAGGCCCAATGCTGCAAATTTCATGACAATTGAGATCAAAACTCTATTAAAATTTGCCTTAACTTAGTGAGTTAGAAGGACAATAGTGGTATTAAAGTACTTTGAGACTGTTTCAAAAAAACATTTGTATAAGCAGTGGGTAAATTATACTGCTCAGGGCAGAGTTTTCTTAAAACTTAGTTTAAGTCCCTGGTACTCAAAGCATTAGTAAATTTCTACTGACTCAAACATTTTACTAATTCAGTAAGGCCTTCCATCCAATTAATTCTAAATTTTTCAAACTGAATAATTTTATTGCTTCTAAAAATAGTCACAAACTTCTGAGAGTGAGCAGGGCTCACCCTCTGATGTATGATATAATGAGCAACAGCCCTACTGTCCCAAAATATGCAGGGTTTAATTGGAGAGAGGAGTGTAAACACTTGTCTTTTAAAGTACCATGAACAGAAATCCATATTTCTTATAACACATTACATTGGAAAGGATGAATTTGTATATTAACTCTTTATTTGATTAAAAAAGAGTTCCAATATGTTAGGGAAAACATTGTATTAGATTAATCACAAAGAAACAAGACTAAGTTGACAGGTCTTATAGGAAAATTTCTTATTTTACTTTATTCATTAAAAATAGATGAACTTACGGTTATTTTTCTGTGGAGGATGCTAAACCCCAATTTGATGGTATTAGAAAGTACAACATTTGGGAAATAATGAAGTCATGAGGGCAAAGGCACCATGACAGGATCTGTGTCCTCATACAAGGGGAGCACAAGAAAAATATTCCTGTCTTCCTTTCTGCATGTGCACGGGTCAAGGAAAAGTCACATGAGTCAACAGAAAGAAAGTGGCTGTTTACAAGCCAGGAAGGAGTTCCTCACCAGGAACCAAATCTGCCAGCACCTTGACCTTGAACTTCTTAGCTTCCAGGACTGAGAAAGGAAAGCCTATTGTTTAAGGTGCCAAGTCCACGGCATTTTGTTACAGCATCCTGAGAAGGCCAATATAGCAGATGGTTTCAATAAGGAGTTTTGTAGAATAACCAAGCAACTTAGAAACCTATCTTATGTATGAGCCACCTTTATTATAACTCAGTCCACAAGAGTCCACACCATAGTCCTTTGAATCCCAAAACTGAGCACAGAGAAGCAGAAATATAGAGCAAATGTTTTCTGGGGGAAAAATAGTAAGAGTCACCCATCTTTTAAAATGAATACATTTCTTCATGTTTAAATATATTTTCATTGCAGGGCTTATAGTATCAAATATTTTCAGGCAAGAATAACCAAATTCTATGTTTTTGTCCTATGATCTAGGAGCTTCATGATGCCATTAAAGTAAGGTAAGTCCTAGAACATCGAAGTGGGACATGAAAGTGTGGGAAAATGTGACCAGGTGTATAGTTGCCAAGGGTTAAGGGAAACCCTGAGGTGGGGATAAGTCAGATAAGTGTCCACATCCCCCAACACCAATCCTAATAGAAAAGCAACAACAATGAGGATCATCACCCACTACATCAAAGGGCAGCTACTTTGCCAAAGCTTCCTTTTCTTGTTGTGATGTTTATGACAAGTCATGCTCAATTTGTTCACAGATGTCAAGTCACTTTGTCTTGTAGGACAATAACAAAAGAAATAAAAGTACAGCCATAAGGTTGGACTCTGAAAGTTTTCAGCTACATATGGATGATGACAATATTAGAAAATAAAATACAAAGACACTTCTTTGCAAGATATCCTAATAAATCTATCCCCACACTCTAAAATAGTCTCATCATCYAATTTATCCAACTTCAACTTAAAACTCATTACATAAAATAATCCCTTTCCATTTTATTATTCTTTAATTCATTCAGCAAACATTTATTCCTTACCAGTGGTACTAGGTAGGCACTGGGATAGTGCAGTAGTTCATAGAGGCAAATCTACCAAAGAAGATTGAAACTAAACACACCATAATAGCAGCAAATACTACAGAAACACATAACAAAACCCCTGCCAACTATTTCAGAAAGTGAAGTGCAGAATGCTGCAGTAAAGATTAAAAAAAATTGATAAGACCAATCTAGGGAGACCAAGTATTGAGTCTTGGAAGAGCCAGTAAGGCAGACAAGCCCTGGCAGGACCCAGAGAGTCAGAAGCTCACAAGTACCCCCACTAACTCACTAGTCTACTGGGCTGGATTGTGGGCCACAGGCTGTGTGCACCCTTCCATAGTATACACCCACTGCAAGCCTTCAGAGGTATGCTGGTCAATCCTACCTGAGAACTGGGCATAGCAACAGACTTCTAGAATTAACCAGCCTCACTCTTGAGTGAGAACCTGATTTAAATGAGACACCCTTGGAAGGGAAAGGGTGTGTTGAGGTGGCCAAGTTTGGCTGTACCCTGCCACAATAGTTCTAGCATGCTGATTCTCAAGCTTGGCTATATATTGTAATCTGGTGAGTTTTTAAAAACACTTGGGTAGCAGTCCAGTTCACTTTGATAGATCTGTAGTAAATCCTGGGCATCAGGACTATTCAAAATCCCTGAGGTGATTCTAATGTGCCGCAGAATCCGGGACCCACTCATCCAATAGTCTCCACTCTACATCTTTTAAGTTTTTTTGGATAATAGGTTATAGAATTTGTCTATGAGTGAAGATCTATTACATTTGATACCTCTCGGTCTTGTACAACCATTCATGAGAGAGGAAGAGAACCATGGCATGAGGGAGCCCAGTCAGATTTTAAGGAAAGAGGCATGGAACCCTAAGTACATTGTGAGTAGGCTCGGAGCTAACATTTCAGATCCTGAGGATAATGAAGAAGGAAACAAACTTGCATAATTCTTTAAAGAAACAGTAAAGTAAAACAAAATATCCTTGTACTTAAACTACTATACTATTCTGGGGAATGTGTTCTAAAAAAAAAAAAAACATTTGTAATGGAAGAAAAAATATGTACCTTAAAAGGTTTATTTCTACCATCTGAAAATTGAAAAGTTGGAAATATTACAAACACCGACAACGAAAAATGGTTACAAGAAGTAGGATGAAGTAGAATATTATACATGAAATAGGATATTATTATCACCGAGAAGTACAAAGAAGGAGAATAGTCCTACAGAAACGATGTGACATAGAGTCAAGCAAATAAAAGTAAAATTCGAAACGGATTGATATTAGGATCAAAGCTCTACACAGAAATAAGGACTGAAAGAAACTAATCTGTCGGCAGATTGATTTCTTGACCCACACACCTACTTCTCCTGGTTGCTCCCCTTTATTAGAAAATTTCAAGAAAGAGTTCTCCTTATTCTCAACTTCCTTTCCACTCCATTATTTCTTGAATTCCATCAGGAATTCTTCCTTCACGTTCTATCATAACCACTCTTTTCTAGATCACAAGTGACATCAAAGCTGGAACCAACTCTCTCCACCTTACTCAACATCTTTTTTCTAAGGACACTCTCTCCTACTCTCTTTGTTTTTCTTGGACCTCAATGCTCTCTCCTTTCTCGTCTCCTTTGTTGGATCCTTCCTATATTGGCAAACACTAAATATGATATTGGAGTGTCCCACAGCTCTCCTCCAACTGCGGTTAGTCCTTAGGTTATTTCCCATCTTACCAATATGACTTTAGATCCCATAAAATAATTATTGCCTCCCCAATTATTCATTCAGTAAGAACCTCTTATTTGAACTTCAGGCTCATTAACAACAACAACAACAAAAATTTAAACTGCCCTCTTAGCATCTCCACTCAAAGATCTAATATGCATTTCAAATTTTTACATTCTCAAAAACTCTTGATTTCCTCCATCCATCAGCTCTAACTCGAATCCTCTCCCAGAATTTTCAGTAAATGGCATTTCCATTCTTACTGCATAGGCTAAGAACTGGAGCCATTCTAGACATCTCTCTCACGTCTTCTATCAGGTAATCTGATTAATTAGTTTCAAAATGTACATGAAAGCCCCATCACTCCTCAACACATCGAATAGTACCACCAGTTCTGGCTTGGAACGTTGAAATATCCCCCCATTCCAACTAGTGTCTCTACTCTATTTTGACACCTCAGAATCTTTTCCAAAGAGCAAGCAAAGTAATTATCTTAAAATGTAAATCTGACCAAGTCGATGATCCATTTACAGTTCTTCCTTAGCTACCAGAGGCTCTTGGAAGACTCTAAGCCTTTCCTTACCCAGTCCTTGGGTGCCTCTCTTCTTTTCCCAACCCTCTGCCGTCTTGTTTCCTGTCTACCTGGTCTTGTGTCATACTTCCTCTCAGTGGTCAGCATGTCATCACTCTGTCCCCTTGCTACTTCTCAAGAAGCTCTCCCTCAGATGTGTTTTTTTGTTCCCTTGTCTAAAGTGGCTTACACTTGATACCAGTATTGTGTTTTCCTCACTTGAGGGTTCTGTTCGAATGTTCCCATAGCAAAGATGGTTCACTGTATATTCTATTTCTTTATCCAAATTTATTATCCCTCTCCATTCTGACTTTATGTGGTTAATTTCTATTCATAGTTTGGTCATCACATCAACTATCACTACTTCAAAAAAGTGCTCACCGACCCCAAAACCTAAGTCAAGCTGTTTAATTAGTTTGTCAGAAAACCATGTTTCTCTCCCATCATTTATCAAAGCTGGAAATTATTTATACGTTGGCATGATTATTTGATTTATATTTCCTTTATTCT